AGACCAGTGCAGAAACTGGCCTATTTGGAACAGAGAGTACTCATTGGCAGGCAATGGCATACAAGATTAGCCAGGTACGGTGAGACCCAATGGAGGAAGGCTCTGAAACCCAGGATGAGAAATCTGAACTTCGACAAGCATTCATGGGAAGGCAAAGAAAATGCTTTGTCCGGTTTCTGCTCTTTGTTCATTTATTTTTGCTGAGGAAGACTGGCCCTGAACATCTGTCCCCAATCTTCCTCTTTTTGCTTGAGGAAGATTGTCCCTGAGCTAACATCTGTCACCAATCTTCCTCTATTTTGTATGGAGGTCACTGACACAGCATGGCTGATGAGTGGTGTAGGTCCGTGCCCAAGAACCAAACCCAGCCGTGGAAGCAGAGTGTGCCAAACTTAACCACTATGCCATTGTGACAGCCCCTGTTCCTTGTTTACTTCTAAGATCATAAATAGTTTGGCAATGTAGACTGCCCTCTTTCCCTGCCTTCTACAACTGGCCCACTGATTTCCTACCACCCATCTCATGATACACACCCTCAGGCACACAACTATTACTTCTCTGAAGATAATCCCTCTACTCATGTTTATACTGGTCCCACATCTCCAACTGCCTGTCAGAGAAGTACCCTTAAAAGTTCTTCGACTATCCTATACCATCTATCCACCCACTTACTGAGTGTCCAACCTGGGAAACGTAAAACTAGGAATTTAAAGATGACTCAGTCCATGCCCTCAAGAAATTCAGAGTCTAAAGTGGGCAGGAGCCAAGGCAACAAAATCGCACAACACAGGGTCGAACTACTGGAGTAGAGGAATGCTCAGAGTATCACAAGAGCAGAGAACAACCTCAGTTTGGAGATCAGGAAACGACAGAAATCACCTAAGAGAAAGTGCTGACTGAACTGAGTCTTGAAGGAAAATAAACATCAATGGTGGGGATGACAGTGATTACCGTGAGCCTGCCAAGGCTGGGCAGAGCCCGCCCTACTCAGACACTGCTAATTCCATATGGCGGGATGTGCAGAAGCAGTAGACTAGCTCATGAACTCATTCTCTCATGCTAAGAAATTCTGTATTTTAGCACAGCAGAAAGATTTTAGTGAAGAAATAACATGATCTTATTAGCGTTTCTTAAAAAAAGTTCTGGTGGCAGGGGAAGATGGATTGTGGGCACCACAAAGCTTCTTTCTATCATAAAATGCAACAAAAATCTGATAGATGCTGCTATTAACATTCACTTTATCTCCAGTTATCCATTCCTACCCCCTTGCCAGGCTTAGCTCACATTCTTCACAAAGCCTTCCCTAACTCTTCCCAAACACGTTAACCTCTCCTTTCTCAGAACTTCTATGCTCTGTCTGTACACAGTAGTGTCATCACATTACATTTTTTAACTTATTTGCATTTAAATTTCTTCTAACAAGAACATAAGCTCCCTGAGATAAGATGTCACATATTTTTTGAATGTATGTGCAATACACACACACACCCCATTACCCTTCCCGATCCCACAGCACTTAGCACAGTAATACAACATTGTGAAATGGAACACTTCCTTTGAACTCAATATTGCCTTCTTTATTCATGAGCAAAAAGATTCCACTGTTCTCCAGAAATAATAAACAAAATAAGATGTGTGATTAGGCAAAACTTAGATGAAAAACACCAGCACAGAGGCCAGACCCGTTGCTGAGCAGTTAAGTTCGCATGCTCCGCTTCGGCAGCCCAGGGTCTCGCGGGTTCGGATCCTGGGCACAGACATGGCACCGCTCGTCAGGCCACGTTGAGGCGGCATCCCACATGCCATAACTAGAAGGACCCACAGCTAAAAATACACAACTATGTACCAGGGGGCTTTGGAGAGAAAAAGGAAAAATAAAATCGTTTTTTAAAAAAAAAAAACAGTACAGTGGTGGTGATGGGCAATGAATACAAGGGAACTTTCTGGTGGGATGAAAATGCTCTAACTTATGACAGGGGTGTGTTATACTGTTGTATCCATGTATTAAAAAAATATATAACTAAGATTTGTACAGTTCAATATATACAGATTTCTACCTAAAACCGGTAAAATTAAGGGGTGGGGAGCACAGAGCCATAGATGAAACAAGAATGGCAGAATGTTGATGGTACTTCTTAGATAAAAGTGTACTGGGGGTTTTGTATATTATTTTGCTTACTTTGAATATATGTGAAACTTTCCATAATAAAAAGTAACATATATATAAAGTCATATATATCTATGTAATACAAAGATAGATGGATGGATGTGTGTGTGTGTGTGTGTGTATGATTTAGCTGGGTGAAAAAACTGCTTTAACAAAACTAAAAGATAACTCAGAACATTAAATTACTCATTCTCCTAATCTTTGGAATAATGTGACATTGTAACTTTTAACGTGGTTTTACTAGCTCTATTACCTATCCCATTCTAAGGAATCTTTTCTAAGAAAATCTACTGTTAATAGCATGGACACAAAAAGACCAAGCAGCCAGAGGTTCCTCAATTAAGCACCAGATAGTAAAACTAATTAGCCTGTTACCAAAGACACCCAAAAAGCCAGTAAAATATAAAGTTAGAACTCTTGAATCTTCAAACTGTGATGCCAAAGAGATTGACCGAAAGATAGCCAAAAATTTCTGGAAGTATAACATCAACAGAGATAGACTCAACACCATTCTTAATGGTTTCAAAATAATTCAATCACTTTCTCTCAGTAATTTAAACTTCACACTTATTTGTTCATAACCTGTATTCTCCATCCACAAAATATTTAATGCATAAAATAAAGATTTTCCTTACTCATGCCAATGCAAAAGATGAACAACAATCTTCTGCTCAATAAATTGTTGCATAATTTAACCTCCCAAAAAGTTCAGTTTCTCAAAAAGATTTTTAAAGTATTTTACAATAACGAATAAACACCTAAAATTATTTAATAAGACAGATTCTACTACACCGTTTTGCCAGTAGTTCCCATTAGATTATGTTAAAACTTTCCTTACTCAATAATCTATGATCCTATGCCCTACATCAGTAGCTACCTTAGCTGTGACTGGAAGGGGCATGAGGAGAGTTTCTGGGATGCTGATAATGTTCTCACCTGGGTGCAGATCGGAGAGCTAATTACTCAGGTGAGTTCTATTTGTGAAAATTCTTCAAGCGCTACACTTATGTGTGCTTTTCTATATGTAATACTCCAATAAAGCAATATTTCTAAAAGCAGCATGATAAAAGTAAGCTAGAGGTATCAGAGCAGTCCTCAAATCCCCTCTCCTATACTAAAACACCTGTTCTAGGCACTGAAATGCCTCACTGCAAATGTAATTCAAAGATATTTTATAGCACTTGACATTCTCTATTGGAATAGTCCCAGATGACAAATGACTTTCATTTGCAACTGGGAGCTCAGAAAGTATACAATCCAACAGAAAAATCTGTTTATATTTTCCAGACTAAATCATTTTAAAAGCACAGTGAATAGGTACTGTATTGTCTAGACACAGAGGTAAATCATTTTCAACCTTGTTAAGCGGATTTGGGAAACGAAAGAAAGACCACTGCTTCAGACTCTAGGAAGATAAGGAAGATAGGAGAAGGTTAGTAAGAACTTTACGGAAAGGCAACTTGTCAGTGTTTCAGTGTAAAGTCTACTACTAATCGGATATTTTAGGCAATCAAAAACAGGAGGAAACAGTCTCTGCCCAGAGAGATGAACGAAATAAAACGCATGAAAGCAGTATCCCAAGATGTAATATGAAATACTCAATGACTGGCGGGAACGCTTCAGAAGTAACCTTTCCTCTTTCGTTTGGTGAAGGCAGCGTCTCCCGGCAAATAAAAACTTACATCTGTAATCCCACAACAGTAACTCAATTCTCTCCCTTCCTCTAACCTTCTAATCTCCCAAAGTTAAATCTAAACCTTAAAATTCTCTCGAGGGGAAGCAGAGGAACATAATCACAAAGGATCTTAATCCTCACCTAAAGCACACTTTCACCTTCCACCTGCAGACCCGGGCAAGAGAACCTTGCGCTCCAAATAATACCACGAAAACCCCTCAAGCCTTTCCGGATGAAATGCCAGGGCGTTCAGTGACCAACTACAAGGGGACACCACTTTAGAAGGCAATGTTGCCAAGTGGACCCAGGATAGCTCACACGAACCATCCTCGCTCGCGACTTTCAACATGAACTACTAGGGAATCGGGGCAAAGTTCGTTCAAGTGACTTCGCCAATCTCGCCTAGCGAGTCCTTCTCCATCCTCATATCACACATACACGTCCACAAAGCAAATCCTTCACGGTCTATCAGGAGGTGAGACAGCAAAACTAGAACACACTCGGAAAGTTGATACAGAACGGAGACGGTTTGGGGAGGGGGTGGGGGGCGCCCGCCGCGGGGTAGAGGCACAGATTTGCCAGCGGCGCAGGAGAAAGACTCACACCCTGGGGTCAGAAGGAGGGCGGCGGGGGGCACAGGAAGCACGCGGGACGGCGGCGCCGCGGGGACACCAGACACTGGAGCCTGGCAGCAGCAGCCGCCGCCGGCCCTCTCCCCGCTTGACCCCGCCGAGCAAAGGGAGCCGTCCGCCGGGCGCCAGGCGGGGAGGGAGAGCGAGCGGCGAGCGCGGCTCGGGCCCGGGAGAGCGGCGCGGCCCTGGGCCTTCTTACCCGTGCAGGCCGAGGGCGCGGCGCCGCCTGTGGAGCAGGCAGAGCAGCAGGAGCGCGGCCCCCGCCAGCGAGGAGTTTCGCACCGTCAGGTACTTGCTGAAGGCCGCCATGGCACTGCCTGCGCGAAGGAGCCGGGGACGGGGACGCAGCGGAGACTGCTTTAGTACAGGAAGCGCGGGGCAGACTGGGAGGAGACGAGCGCGCGGGGCGAGGGCGGTGCTGGCTGCGCAGGACCGCCCCCTGCCTGAGCGCGCCGGAGCCCACCTCGGCCTTTGGCTCCGCGGAAGCGCGCACGGTGGTGCTGCGGCGACCGGAAGAGTCCCGGGATGCGCCCTGCGCACGCGCGGCCCCCAGGGTGGCCGGGAACGCGCCGCCGCGGCGACTCCCCTGACCTTTGGCGGGTGGCTCGTCGCTACTTTGCTGCCGCTGCTTTCCCCTCCCTTACCTTCCCCTCCTTTACCTCCCCCTCGCGCGCCTCCGCTCCATCACGCCCAGTTTTACAGAAACTGGAAATGCGGGCCTGGTTTACGCCAGGAATTTGATGAGACCTGCCTCTCCATCCCCAGTAGTGCGCCGTTACCACCCTTTTAAAGGAGCCCAGGAAGAAGAGGAACGGCCCCATCGCGGAGCGGGTACACAAAACCGAGGGCGCTGTGGTTATGTAGACGAAAACAACAGTTGGGAACTCCGAAGAGGTGTAGAGAAATGTGGGAAGAATGACTACCAATTGAAAACCTTTTCCAAGCCAGTGTTTTCCAAACTATAGGGATGGTGAAATCAGTTTGGGAGATCGAGACCACCACGTTTTTTTTTTTTAATGAAACCGAGGGAAAAAAGAACACAATAGAAAAATCTCAGAATGAATCACATATAAAGGAGTTGTTTTGAGAAAATTTTATTCCAGTCTTTTGTACCTATGCGTCCGGAGTAGTGATATACAATGTATTTTTTATGTGGATGTGATCAAACAAAAAGTTTGAGAAACACTGTTCTTTGCAGAGAAATAACAACCGTGCATTGTATTATTGCTGGCCTTCCTCCCAGAATCAGAAGGGCTTTACGGATTACAGCATTCCACTCCTCTCTGGCCTTATGACACAGAAATCGTTATTCCTGGCTTTTAGGCTGGCTTATGTACAGTAACTTAGTGAGTGCCTGTCTTCAATTGAGAAAACTGGAGAAAGCCAAGTGTATCAGTCGTTAAAACCTTGCATAATACACACACATAATAAAGCAGCCCACGTGTTAACATAGCCCACAAAACAGTGTTTTCTCAATATAAATTGGTAGTTGCCTACAGAGTACAAGAATCACCAGGACCAGATACAGTAATGATGTGGGGAGTATGTGTGTGTGTGTGTGTGTGTGTGTGTAGGGATGTTCAACTGTCTAAATTTTGCTAAAGTGGAACTTCTACTAGATTCTCTGTTTGCTTCATAGATATTTTCATTGTAATTATTTAACAATTACGTAAGTAGGCACGCTTCGCACAGAAGATGCAAGGATGACAGATCATAATCTCCATTTTCCAGAGGATGGTAGAGAAGAAAAGCATGAAAAAAAAAAACTATAAATGTGGTAAGTGCCACATTGGAGATATGAACAAGGCACTGTGACAGCATAAAAGAGAAAATGCTTAGTTTTGTCTAGAGCTTCCAATTAAGGCTTTACCCAGAAGATGATTTTGTAGCTGAATCCTAAAGAACCAGAGAAGGAATCACTCAGGAGGACAAGAGGAAAAATTACTAATTCACTAATAAATTGCATAGTAATGTAAAAGTGTTAGGAATCTTGGGAGAAAGTGACTGTATCATCCTGGAGTTTGTAGCAGTGAAGGAAGGGCATTCAAGGTTAGTCTAAAATATAGTCTATTTAGGAAATTATATTTCAGAGGAAAGATATATTTAGGAAGTAGACTATAGTTCAGAGGAAAGATAAGAATAACTCATTGGGAAAGATGTTCTAAAAGGTACCCTTGTTCAAGAAGCATGAGTGATTCTAAAAAAATGAAATTAATTAATACGAGCTCAAATAAGATTAGCTATTCATAAAGCCCATCAGATAAAGACCACCAGGGACAAACTTGTAACTCAACAAAGAGGTTTATTAGCTTGCTGCAGCAAAGGACATCACACAGCAGAGGAATTGTGGGCATGTCTCCAAAAAAGGGAAGAAATGGGGGTCATTATAGTATCGGGAAGGGAGGAGTTTAGATAGAATCTAAATGAAATAGTACTTAATAGGCTCAGAGCAAATCAGATCTATATGTAAAGGGGTTAGTATCAGACCCGGCTTGAGAAGCAGACTCTGGATTCTATTTCCTTAGAAACATAAATTTAAGATTAATGTAGAATATTGTGTCCAAAAACCCCTTATCTGAACCTCTTCATTGTACATTGAGGCTTCTTCTCTAAGTCAAAGTGACTCGGATGGTGTACATCCTCCATGCATGAAAGGGATCTTCTGTTCTTATATGAGTTCCAAACAACGAAGTTCCTGGGAATCTAGGATTTTAGAGAACAACGTTCCTCAGCACTACATCTTTTGATAATTAACCAAAGCAGTTTTTCAGGTTCACACTTTAAAATACTAAATAATTAAGGAAAATGTGATTTTATTGGCAGAGCTCCATGAGCTCTGATTTTCAAAGAATTTGAGTTATTGGGAACAGGGAGGAGAGGGGCATGTGGAGTTAGGGAATCTAGAAAGCCTCTTAAAGCGATATTGTGTTCACCAGCCTGCAACATTGTCCCCACTGATCCTTGCTTCCTGGTAGTCATGACTGTGTAATCTCCCTCACATCAGAGCTGGTCTGTGTGACTGCTCCGCCACAAGCCCAGCTGGGCTCCGACAATGGGATATCATGCCGAGAGACCGAAGAAACGACCCAGAGACTGCGAACAAGGCACACAGGTTTATTGGGCCCTACTTATGAGGAGGCGGCAGGCTGGACAGAAGTATGCGCCCTCCCACAACCGCTCCCTAAGAGAAGCTTGCTTAAGTAGGCAGAGGAACAAAGGCTGCATGTTTGCCAAAGGGCTGTCCTTGGTATGACCAGCGTTCCCAGAAAAGTAGCTCACATGGAGGGGCTCTGTGTCTCCCTGTAAGACCAATGTTCTTCTCGTGGGATAAGGGAGAATCCAGGCTGGCCAGGCCCAGATTGTTACAAATCCCAGTAGCTGGGCCGCCTGCTCAGAAGGGAGCCGGAAGGACAACTGGTTGCAATGGGCCTGGGAGTTTCTGCTGAGCAAGCAAGGCCCAGGCCCTACAGTGACCAAGAGTATGGTGAAAGTGTTGACCTTAAAGAGACAGCCAGTTATTTCTCCATCAAAAATCGGTTTATTCAAGATCAACAAAGAATCGCGATTCAGTATCTGCAACCTTGGCAAGTCACGTGCAAGTTCCTAGCAGCAAGAGGAGAAACTCTTTTATAGAGGGGAAGAGGAAGTCGGCGGGGCTACTGTAAAGAAAGAGTCCATTGGAGGAATTGAGAGTTTGAAGTGTAGTGACTTTTCATTGGCTAAATTGTGACAGCATCTCATTGGCTAAGCTCTTGCCAGCCAGAAGAGGAAGTCTTTCTTCTTCCTGTGGGGCTCTGCCCTGTGGTAGAGCTTGAGAGCTCCGAACTCTGTTCTAAATGAGGTTTCTGTTTATTACTTTTAACAGAGGTGATGGTAAGTGACCTCTGAGGCCAGATCGTAAAAAAGTATTGTGGCTTCCACCTTGGTCTCTTGGGTTCCTTGTTCTTGGGGAATCCAGCTGCCACAGAGAACGTTCAAACAACCCTGCGGAAGAACGGAGGACTCCCACCAAGCGAAGGGATCTTCTGCCCGCAGTCAAGCCTCCAGCGGCTCTCCCCTCATGAGTAGTCCCCAGCAGGATCGCTCAGCCAAAATGCTCCTAAACTTCTGGCTCGCAAAAACTGTGGGCAATAGTAAGTGTTTATCGTTGTTTTCAGCCACTAAATTTTGGAGTGATTTGTTATGGAGCTGGTGTGGTTTGGAGCGAGCCTTGAAAAATAGATGGAGGAAAGAGGCTTTAAGAGAAGATATAACAGGAACAAAGGTACAGAGACAAGAAGATACAAAGCTGATTCAGGAAGATGATTAAGTCTGGTGTGGATGGAGGTTCAAGAAGGGGTGTGAAATGAGAGAAAAGGTTGAAATGTTTAATGGAAGTCAACTTGTGGAATATCTAACACACCAGGTGTTAGAGTTAACCAGGTGAGGTTTTATTTGCATGTAAGAGGGAGTATTGCAGGTTTTGGAGAAGGATAGTGACCTCAGATCTTATTTAAGAAAGACTACGTTAGTGGCAGTAGGCAGGATCAGTTGACGAAGAAAACATCAAGCAGAGAGACCAGTTTGAACACTTGAAGTAATCTAGGTAAAAAGTCATGTACTCTCAGGGCGTCACAGAGCAAACAGGAAGTAAAGGACTTGGGGATTCAAATTGGATGAGATGAATGAAATTGTTATTTAATGGGAAGAAAAATTTTAAATTGACTCTGAGATTTCCTGGTTGAGTGCCTGAGAGGATGATAATATTTACCAGAGATCAAGGGCCTAGAAGTGGCACATGCATCCTCATCACCAAGATAAACTCCAAGATCCTTAACATCTTACACAAAGGCAGCTGTATTGTAAGCTCTGACTACCTCTCTGAATTCCTGTCTTGGCATCCTCACCTCCAATAGAGATATTCTATCTCTGCCCCAGGAGATAAATGTGCACTGCTATTCCCCTCTGTATTCTTCCCTTGAACATGCTATTCTTTCTACCTGCAGTACCAATCCTTTCCTGCCCTAACATCCTCACACCTCAGTTCATCCTCTAAAACAAAGCTTTGATGGTCCCCTAGTCCAAACTCTTTTCCGACCACTTCCCCCAACTCCCTTACCCTGCTAAGTTAATCACTCCCTCCTTTGTACTACTTTTGTTTCATATATGATTCTATTAATGGATGGTAGGGTGTCTGGGGAGACAGATCTTAAAATTTTTTTTAAGAGAAACTGCCACTGATTTCTCTGACAAGGTAAACACCTCTAGTCATCAAGACCAGATTGTCTTTGCTTAGAAAAGAGTCACTTTCTTTCTGATACAAATGGGAGAATTAGGTACCCATTGCACCAGGGAGAGTATGTAACAGGCCATCCTGACAAGACCACTCCTTGAACTAGCCCTAGTGTGCCCAAACCAATATTGGGAAAGTTTGCCCAGGAGAGCCTCCAAGGAGGAAAGAGACTGAGATCTTAACCTCTTTCTGTTTTAGGTTCAACAATATTAGAACCTTTCTAATAGACTGGGATAGTCCTGTCTCACTAGCTCAAGGTCAAGGAATAAGAAGTCTGAGCTGGTGAACTAGTTCAACAACAGAGCCTGGGGGCCACAGGGAGAGCTGGTTCCAGCGCAGTACATGGGTAAGCCATGAGGTCATCCCAGTTTGGTCACCTAGGAACTACCTGTGTTCTTTGGGAGCAATGTCCAAGCATAGAGAAAGCTTGGGAGTCTGTGCTTCGGCCACTTGACAACCTGTGCATCCAGGACATCATGGCAGGGGAGCAAGGACACTTGGGACTGAGGAGAACCAACTCACAATGGCAACACCAGCTAGCAGGCAAAGATTTTTGGTAGCCAAATATCCGGTCAGCAATTATTTGGAAGCTTCAGTTCCCTCTCTTATCTGGAAACAAGTCTAACCTCTTTGGGCTGAATTAGCTCCTAAGTGAATTAGGTGAGAGAAGCAGCCTCAAGTAATATACTGGATTTCCTAATAAGGGCCTGAATTGGACAATTATTTGGAAAATAACTGATATGAAATATGTGCTTTTCACCCCAGATTGAGGAAGCAGGTCATACTGATTGACAACATACTCACACACAGCTGTGCTTTTGTTTGTTTAGAGGAGATAGAGCCTCAGGCCCTGTACACTGTTGGCACTCAGCAAATGTTTGTTAAACTGAAAAAAAATTGATTTTGAGGTACTAAAAGAAATGCCTGGTGGAAATTCCCAGTAGGTAATCAGAAAATTAAGTTCTAGTTCTTAGGAAAAGGATCAATACTAAACATTTATTCATATGAAATTTATTAATAACTTACTATGTACCAGGAGCTGGGGCCAGTGATGAGAAAAACATAACGGTTCTCACTCAGAACAGTCTGGAAGGGGAACAGATATAGAATTCCAAATATAATGAGTTTCAAATATACATTTCGAAAAAATATATATGGATTTAGAGGTTTTCCATATACACAATAGAGGAATCTGTGGAACTTAGTAAGAATTAAAAAGAAGACTGTGAAGTTGACAAGAGGAATATAATCCTATGAAACACCTACCTTTGAGAGGTGGGGGAAGGAGAAGGGGTCAGGACAATAAGAATAGTTAAAAAGGTAAAATGGGCTGGGGCTGCCCTGTGGCCTAGCAGTTAAGTTTGAGCATTTCGCTTCAGCAACCCAGATCCCAGGCGTGGACCTATGCACCACTTATCAAGCCACGCTGTGGCAGGCGTCCCACATATAAAGTAGAGGAAGATGGGCACGGATGTTAGCTCAGGGCTGATCTTCCTCAGCAAAAAAGAGGATTGGCAGTGGATGTTAGCTCAGGGCTAATCTTCCTTGAAAAAAATTAAAAAGGTAATATGGAAACCTAGAGGCGTGAGGATCACAAAAGTGAAGACATAAGAGAGTTTCCAGAAGGGTATAGGAGGGTTAATTCAGATTATCAGTAAGTGTTGGAGATATATTCCTTGGTGAAGCCTTTTCTGGACTCCCTTTTCCTCTTGTTGGTGTCCCCAGTGTACCCTGTTCAGATGTCTGTCGCAGCTCCTATAATGCCTATTTATTCCAATGACCGTAACCATCACAAGGGAAGGAGCCAAGTCTTATTTTTCTTATTTTCTTATTTAATCCTGCATCATCTGAAAAAAGAGAATTGGATCCATGTGTCATACTCAAACAAAATAAAGAGAATAATTTCCAAATTGCTCAAAGAATGAATAAAAGAAAAAAGAAATTTAAGGAAACCATAAAACTGTTAGAAGAAAACATGAAAGAATTCCTCATGAAATAATTATGTTATAATCTTGGCAGGGAAAAGACCTTTACAAGTATTAAAATCCAGAAGCCATAGAAGAAAAAATTTGATAAGTTTTGCTACTTAAAAATAATTTCTTCATGACAAAAAAACTCCCGCTGTAAACAGAGCAGAATGAAAACTGTAGGAAAAAATTGCATGTCATTTCACAGACAAGTGGTTCATTTTCCTAAAAGTACCTTCAGATCAGTAAGAAAAAGGCCATGAACTGAATAGAAAAATTGGCAAAGCATATGAAATATAGTTCATAAAATAAAAATTTAAATGACTCAAACATATGAATAGATGCTTATCACACATAACAAGACATACAAAATTAAACTACACTACAAAACAATTTTCACCTACCAGATTGTCAAAGATCCAAAAGTTTGATAATGCATTATGTAATATTTCATCACTATTTCTGAGAGGTAGATAAATTAGTACAATTTGTAGAACAATTGGTCAATAGCTGAGAAATCGTTACAAATGCACACACCCTCTGACCCAGTAATTCACTTCAGGGAATTGATTCTGTAGATGTATTCTCACATAAGGGAAATGTCATAGATATAATGCATCTTTGCTTGTAAAAGCAAAGAATTGGGAAAATTCTTTAATTCCCATCAGTGAAGGACTGATTAAATAAATATGATGGAATATTATACATCCATTAAAAGAATGAAGCAATTCTGTATGTACCAAGATGGAATGATCTCCAAATATAATGTTAAGCAGAAAAAAGACCAGGAGCAGAATAGTATGTACAGTGTACTATTATTCATAAAAGGAGTAGAAGGAGGAGTAATATATACTTATTTGCTTATAGATGAATATAATATCTCTGGAAGATATTCAGGAAGTTGATAATATTGACTGACTTCGGGAAGAGTAACTAAGTGAGTAGGGAGAGAGGCAGGAAGAAAACTTTGCACTGAATAAATGTGTACCTTTTAACTTTTTAACCATGTGAATATATCATCTGTTACATTTAAGAACATTCTTTGGCAAGGTGAAATTCACATAACATAAAATTAACTATTTTAAAGTCAACAATTCAGCAGCATTTAGTACCTTCACAATGTTGTGCAACCACCACCTGTACCTAGATCTAAAACATTTTCATCACCTCAAAAGAAAACCCAAACCATTAAGGAGTGACCTGCCACTGTCCCCTTCCCCCAGCACCTGGCAACCACAAATTTGCTTTCTGTCTCCATGGATTTATCTATTCCAGATAATTCATATAAATGGAATCACACAATATGTGATGCTTTGTGTCTGGCTTCTTTCACATAGTGTAATGTTTTCAAGGTTCATCCACATTGTAGCATTGATCGATACTCCATTCCTATTTATGGAGGAATAATATTTTATGGCTGGGTGATTTTTTTGCATAGACTACATTTTATTTATCCACTCATCAGCTAATGGACATTTAGGTTGTTTCCGCCTTTTGGCTACTGTAAAAAGTGCTGCTATGAACACGTGTGTACAAGTATTTGCTTGAGACCCTGTTTTCAATTCTTTTGGTTATATACATAGGAGTAGAATTGCTGGGCCTTATGGTAATTCTATGTTTAAATTTTTTGAGGAGGCATGAAACTGTTTTCCACAGCAGCTGAACCATTTTATATTCCCACCAGCAGTGAATGAGGGTCCCAATTTCTCCGCATTCTTACCAACACCTCCATTTTATCATAACCATCCTAGTGAATGTTAATTAGTATCTCATTGTGATAATGATTTGCATTTTCCTAATAATTAATGATGTTGAGTCTCTTTTCATGTGCTTGTTGGCCGTTTGTGTATGTTCTTTGGAGAAATATCTGTTCAAAACCTTTGCCTTTTTAAAA